CGTGGAATTATTTTACCTCGACATTCCACGCATCGTTGAGTAATTTTAGATTCGATATATTAATTAACGTCGATCTTTAGAAGGTGATTAAATGGCGACTGAGAGGCATCATTTCGAAGTATACGTGCGAATTTGTACGGAACTAGCTTTTTAAAAATCATTTACATTCTCAATCTGGTGCCGAACACCATTGCACGAAGGAGTATGCTTTACCAGGTATCTCTATACTCTAAAGCGTTATTCAAGTTTGTGAAATAAATATTAGTTAAAATGTAAAAAATTTTATATAATAAATCGATGTATAAAATATATAGTAATATCTGAGAATACTTTATGCGAGTATATTACCAATTTTAAATTAAAAATGTGCATGTATGCAACGTATCGCTTGCCAAGCATGCTTCAGGGGCGTTCAAAAATGTATGGTCTTTGGGGGGGCGCTTTGAGCGCGCAAAGCACCGTACGCGATGTGTTAATATCTCAAATTTAAAATAATATAACAGTGTGCGAGGTATCGAAATTCAATAATTCAGCGTGTTAGTTGTTACACGATTTCTTATTCACTGCTCAAAAAATATCATCAGTCCTATAGCAGAAAATTTTTCAACTCGTACCCTTCTTTAGTCAAAAAATCGTCGAGTGCGAAGGAATAAAACCTGGATATTTCCATATAATAATAGCGAGAGAAAATAATGTAAGGAGAAGATGCGGCGAAATTACGTAAAAACCGGCGTAGAGTTACAAAAACAAAGGAGACGCAGCAAACCGCGGTTAATTCCTTCAGTTTCACGCGGCGTCGAAGCTGCAACACTCGGGCCGACGCTTATCTCGCGACGCGGCCGCGGAAGAAAATTGCGTAACCGGCGATACGCTCCATCCGGCCCGATGTTCCGCGAACAGCGTCGTCCAATTCGCGCGCGAGAAAATGCACGCCGTTTCTCGAAACCAAATGAATAATTCCCGCCATCGATCCGTTTGAATCATCGCGCGGCCAACGCGTCCCCGGCATGCAAATGGCGGATACAGCGTCGCACAAAAGTATCGTCTAACGTGTTAACCGCGTCATAGAAACTCCGATTAAATGCACATTTGGGATATAATTATTATTGGGATTATGGATAAAAAGAAATAACTATGTTTATTTTATAATTATTTTTATTCTATTCTTAGGAAGGTATATCTTCTGTATTTTAATTGTATGCAGGAAGAGACAAAACTAGAGATGAAGAAGGGTATGCAGCACGTTCTGGTCCCCTAATTATTATCTACAGCGTGAAGTAAAGATTTCATTCGTTTCCAGAACCTCTTCGATGCATAGTTTAACACTAGATTTACGGAACCCGTCAATTTGACGGAAGGATTGCTCCAATTATGCGATGGATTTAGTTCACTTTTATTAAGACTGTTAATATTGCAAATGTTTTTAAATTATACTAATCGTTAAAAAAGAGACACGTAGTTTCCTTTACCTGTCAATTTGACAGGTGTCAAATATGTAGAAATAGGTATACAGATAACATCCGTAAACCTAATGTTAAACACGTATCTATTTCTTCTAAGAGATTGATTTTTGCAAATACGTTAAGACGTATTTTATTTTCAACAATTACTATCTCCAATCGCGAATTATTTAAAATTTTATTCCGATGTCAAAAATTGGAAGTCAATCTTTGGGAATGGAGATACATAAAATAGGTTAACGATGACACTCGCGAGACTTTTGTACAGGACTGTGCACGTGGGAAGCGTTCGTCAACAGTCTTCCAAGAAAAATTGCAAAAGCAGATCGTCTCTGCACGTTTGATCGAATTTTGCTTCAATTTTAAAAATTTTCCTTCGCTTTTGCACTCTCGATTTTCTCGAAAATAAATTTCGGAAAATAAACTTCGAAACGAGTCGACCTGACTGGAAGAAATTCTCAAAAATCCGAATAAAATATTGGAAAGAAAAAATAAAAGATAACTTAAACGATCTTTTATCTCTGGAATACTCGCGAAGATCGTAAAGCCAGAGAAATGTCAAGGTAAAATATAGGAAAAACGGGTGCACGAACGAAAGCTATTAGGGTGAAAGAGCAAAGGCGTACTGCTCGGGTTGAAGTTGGGAATGTAAATTGTGCGAAAGATTCGCGTGGAAGCGGGAAAATTCGCGGGGAACTCTAGTCGCTGCCAAGTTTTTCCACGCGTCTCAAACGTCAGCGGGCTGGCGCGAGGGGGCATAAATTGCGGGCAGAACAAAAACAAGACGTGTCAGGCCGTAGTACGCGTGTAGGATCGCGAACGTACTAATTATCGCGGCTAGACCGCGAATTAGGGGCGTAAAGCTAAACGAGAGGATCGTGGTTGCGACGACAGCCGTGGATCGTCGTCGAGACGCTTTATCATCGACCTCGATCTCTTCGCGCTTCCCTCTTCGTGTCCGCAGGATGCGAGAAGATTTCTGTCGTTAAACACGCGTACGCGTGTAATTTCTTCATCGCCTGTATCCGCTTGTGCCCGCTCGTCGTCTAGGCTGCGAGACGCGTCGGGAAGCACGAATCAAATCACGATTAATGGCGACCTTCGCGTTGCGTCGATCGTTCCCGTTCGCCAAACTAGCTGGCTTCTCGATGAAAGCCACGATTACCGGCTTCCGGTGTAATAAGCGCGATTAATCGTGGGATTTCTCGGCTGACGCGCTGCGTCTTGTTTAGATCGTGTCCGAGGTGGCGCTGTTGGTACAGGACGGGTTGCCGAAGAAAACGTTTCAGTTTGCTTTGCAGAGATTTATGAATGATGAATAAATTATCGCGGACAGACGGCTAGCTAGCGAGTATAGGTGCGAAAGTAAATATTGGCCTCGCATTCGTATTTACGCGATCACGTGCACGAGTATGATAGACGTGAAATTGGATTATGCTAGGAATATTGAGATACAGAGATTGGACAGTGTTAATGTTTATTGGTAACGATAATATAAAAATGCGAGAGTGAGAATGAAGTTAGGAACTATCTCTTGGCTTCCTGCAATGCTCAATGCAGTCTTACGATATTACAACTTCGTTTGACTTCGATTATTAATTTTACAACTCGGTTGAATGCCAACTGTCTTTGACATCAGCTCGGTATTAATTATCCTATAATCGGTTCTGGCTTATTTAATATTTCTTTCACCCTATGCACATGCTCTCCGATATTTCTATTAATATGACCAAATGATAGGAATATTAATTTGGTGACTGTTGTAGAGATGGGACAGTGGTAGTGTCTATTGGTAACGATAATATAAAAATGCGAGAGTGAGAATGAGGTTAGGAACTATCTCTTGGCTTCCTGCAATGCTCAATGCAGTCTTACGATATTACAACTTCGTTTGACTTCGATTATTAATTTTACAACTCGGTTGAATGCCAACTGTCTTTGACATCAGCTCGGTATTAATTATCCTATAATCGGTTCTGGCTTATTTAATATTTCTTTCACCCTATGTACATGCTCTCCGATATTTCTATTAATATGACCAAATGATAGGAATATTAATTTGGTGACTGTTGTAGAGATGGGACAGTGGTAGTGTCTATTGGTAACGATAATATAAAAATGCGAGAGTGACAATGAGGTTAGGAACTATCTCTTGGCTTCCTGCAATGCTCAATGCAGTATTACGATATTACAACTCCGTTTGACTTCGATTAATAACATTTATTAACTTATTGCATACCACTCACGAGTTTCCTCGTGTTTCACGCGCTATCTGTCAAGGACCGCTCATGAATTTTCTCGCTTTTCACGCGCCATTTGTTATAGACCTTAGATGCCAACGCACTGTCTTGTTAAAACGTGCGATTTCTAGCGTATGGCTTAGAGATTTCTATACTGTACGCAATGTGTTAATTTTATAACTCAACTGAATGACAACTGTCTTTGACATCAACTGGATATTGACTGTTCTATAATCGGTCATAGCTTACTTTATATTTCTTCCACCCTATGCACACGTTTTCCGATATTTCCCTTAACATGACTAAATATGGTCGTGTTAGGGGCCCGACGCGTGACCCACCGTTTTCTCGGTTGACATGAGTTTGTACCTTCGAGTTTAGTTCATGAAGCTATGTGTACACAGTGGAAAATTGCGATATGTATTCGTTTTACGTGTTTCTAAATTGGAATAACTTTTCGAATTGCAAATGGATCGTAAATGTCTCGAAATCAATGCGCAGCTTTCATCTTGGCATCGTGCTCTAAAGGGAATCCTCAGAGATCCATGCCAATTACCAGGATTCGATAAAGCAATTATCCTGTGTTCGTCAAGCAATAGCTTCTTTGTTGGCTTCGGTATTTTGTTTGCTAGCGAATTCCAAATTTTATAAATAATTCAGTTATTACTAAATATCCAAAATTAATACATCCACCGATTTCGATATTTTACAATTATAGAAAATGACAGTTCCTCGAAGATATTTCGAAAATTAGAATCGACGTTGTAGGAATTTTTATCGATGATTCGCAGAACGATATATCTACGATATTATAATAACTCTGACCATCCCGATTGAAATTAGTTCCAAGCGATTCTATTCATGACAGGAACCCCTCGATCTAACCTTAATACAATCATCCAATAATTTAATCGAAACGTCGAAAAATGGCGAGACTAGGTCGAAAAGAGCCTATGACTCTTCAAATCGAGATCGAAACCGAAGAAGAATGGCAACAGTTGCTAGCTCGAAAGGGCCTGATTCTCGCCGACGTGTACTCCGAGTGGTGTGGTCCGTGCACAGCCATGGTGAGCACTCTGCGCAACGTGAAGATGGAGATCGGTGGTGATACGATCAGCTACGCGATCGTGAAGAACGACCACATCGGTGATCTGGAGCGATTCCGTGACAGAAGCGAGCCAGTCTGGATGTTCCTTCAGAACGGCAAGATGGTGCACCTGATGTTCGGTGCCAATTGTCCTCAGCTTCAGAAGCTGCTCGTGAAGGAGATCAAGCGGGTGCAGAACGAGGAGGAACCGGAAATGCAGCTGCCAGCGAGCAGCAGGACTCCAGAGGAGGAGATCCTGTGGCAGGAGAAGGAAGCCATCAGGTAGCCTCGTCAGCGATCAACTAATCTTTCTGGGGCCTATATGCACGGTAGTTAATTGCTCGTTATTGCATCTGGTTGCAAAACAAGGAAAGCCATCGAGGACCGCGAGCGTGCCAAGGTAGAAGCCGAGCGAAGAGAGAAGTACGAGGCGTTCCTGGCACAGATGATCTTCGAGCTGAGCGAGCTGACCGCTCTGGTTTTCTACCCGTGGGTGTTCAAAGACGAGGGGGGCCGACACAGGGACAAGTACCAGTGTCCCCCGTACCTCGAACTGGTCAACACTCTGTTCAAACAGAACTTCGACGTGCTCGAGGAGTATCGTGTGCAGTTGAACGAGGAGATGATAGAGAAGCTATTCGTCGAGAGCAACGTGGAGATAACGAAAGAACTGGTAGCAGGTGCTTCTGATCCTTCGTGTCTCTTGGACTTCATAACTCGTCGTTGTCTATGTCCATGTTAAAGTTTGTTACATGAACTGTTCTCTAGTTTAATCCTTAATCGTAATTTGACAGGTTGAGTCGTGTCACGTGATTAAGTTTAAATTGGTATGTTGTTTATCAGGGTTGACAGATGGTAGGACTATAGCGATGAGACTGAAGGGTAGACGGCCTCATCCCGACTGGCCGGTACCCTACCCCTTCGAGTGTCCCAAGGGAACCAAAAGATGCCCCACCCGAGCGATCAACGATGTCGAGAATTACCTGTTGCATTTGTTGACCAGTTCAACCCCGTTGATTCAGGGTAACACCGCTTCTTTCGCTTCGGAAGACTCCTATATGGAGAGACACGTGTACGTTCACGAGCCTGATCCTGAGGATGAGGAAGATTTTCCTAGGACTCATCCTGCTGTTTGGGTACCTCCACAGGTACTCCTTTTAGCTTTTGAATTCTTTGCTTCTATTAATTTCTTCATTCGTCATCTGTGGTTTAAGTTAATTCATTGATTTCTAGGGTTAAGCGAAGGAACTTCCATTTTTCTCGCTTTTTATTGAATTTTCTTTCTTTTCTCTTTATTTATCTCAGTATAGGTACAGTGCAGGTTTAGCACAGTTTTAGTACAGTTTCATTATAGTTTCAGTACAGTGTCAGTATAGTTTCGGTACAGTTTTAGAACACATGCAGTATAGCTTCAGTACAGTTGCAGTACAGATACAGTACACTTTTGGCACAGTCGCAGTACAGTTTCGGTACAGTTGCAGTACAGTTGCAGTACAGCTTCTGTATCGTTTCGATACAGTTTTGGTACAGGTGCAGTATAGTTTCTGTATAGTTTCAGTACAGTTGCAGTATATTTTCTCTATAATTACAGTAGATTCGACAGGTCTCTCTCGACAATTTTCACGAACAAAGTAGTACCCTCGACAATCGTTTACAGAATTCATTGGACCATTGTTAGCTGATCTGATTCAATCTGCGTTCAACTTACGTAAATTTGTTTCCTCTTCATATAAATATAAAAATTCTTCCGAATTTTCATTATCCTCGCGACTCCTCAGGCCAGAAGCAAAGTGCACGTGTACATGACCCTGTTCTCCAATTACATGGAGCTGGTGCACCCCTACGAAGAACCCGTTCCTCCTCCTCCATTCTGTGCCTTCAAGTTCTATTATTCAAAATTCGAAGATGTTCGCGATACGTGCGTTCTCTTCCCTGACGCCGTGGAATATTTCGGTGCCTTCGAGTTTGACAATCCACCAATAGCCAGGCGAATAGCGTCCAGCCCCGAAGATTTCGAGAGAAAGGTTCCCCGAACTTATCTTCTTCTCTTATATTTTTCCTCCTCTATATTTTTACATTTGGAAAATACCAAACGCTGAATGGAGAATATTAACGAAGGCGAAGTATCAAACTGGCAACGAGATATTCGTGATAATAATCCGGAGGATCAGCGAGGACGCTTTTCTGTCGTTCGCCAGCATCGAGCCGTATTTCGTCACGGAAGACGATGAAAAAGCCCAGGCGATGATCGACGAATATTTCCCAGAGGGAGCCGAGGACGTGATCCTCGAAGAATTCGACGAGGAGGAAGAAGAAGAGGAATTTTACGACGGTGAGGATGTCGAAGACGACACGGAGGATCTAGACAAGGATGAAGAAGAGATCGGCATATTTAGCTTCTTATAATTTCGGTATTTTCCCTTGATCTCGCGAGTATATTTTTCTTACTCTCATCTCAGTACAACGCTCAGATATTTTGAAATTTCGAAATTTATAATTTTCAATTTTTTCATTTCTCATTCAGACGAACACTTTGGTATACCAAAATTAAGAAGAGTATATGAATGGAAATTACGAATGGTAATAAACGGTAAAATTCAGAGGATGTAGGAATAAATTAGATTTTAAGAAGGTCGCTTGATCTTACGAGTGTTTCTATTTGTCTTACTCTCTTCTCGGCACATGCTCAGAAATTTCGAAATTTATAATTTTCGATTTTTTAATTTCTCATTCAGACGAACACTTTGTTATATCGAAATTAAGAAGAATATGCGAATGGAAATTGCGAATGGTAATAAATGATAAAATTCAGAGGATGTAGGAATAAATTAGATTTTAGGAAGGTAGCATGAAATTGATAATTATTATCAGTATTTCAGTATTACAATTTATTATCAATTTATTGTCAATATTAATTCGTTCCTTACAATCCTATTACGATAAATTGTATTCATTGCAATTTATTACCAATTTATTATCAGTATTAATTCATTCGTTACAATTGTATTACGATAAATTGTATTCATTGCAATTTATTATCAATTTATTATCAGTATTAATTCAGTCGCTACAATTGTATTACAATAAATCGTATTCGTTACAATTTATTATCAGTATTATAAATTATTATCAGTATGAGTATCGAGGTTCAAGTAGGATCGCCAAAATTAAATTTTATTAAATTTAACCCTTCACACTCGACAATTTTTCCGTTCCAACGTTAAAATCGACGATATTTTTGAACGGGTAAATAAGAAATCGTATACGAATTAAGATGGAGAATTATTTTTCTTCGACATCCCACACGTCATTGCGTTATTTTAAATTTGACGTAGCAATTAACATGGTTCTTCCAAATTTTATGAAATGGCGACAGAAGCTCACCTCTCGAGTGCAAAGGGTTAATATTAATATATAAAATTTTAATATTAACGTATAAAAGATTTTACAAAATTTCTCTTTGAAATTTTCTCCATTTCCACTTGTACGGAGAGCCTTGGACGAATCGAAACGCTTATGGCAGAGGTCTCGTCGCGTTTCGAATAATTCAAAGCTCGCAGACCTCTTTTCCGCCGATCGAGGATTCCATTCTTCGCGCGTTTTGGCAGAGCCGGATCATACTTGAATATTCGGTGTCGTTGGCAACGCGTTTGCGTAACTCTGGCAAAATTCCAGCCGGCGTCGCGGGCTCTAGAGGTTATATTACGCACCTGCCTCGCTGCCAATTTTTTAATCGCACCCCGCCAGCGGGGAACCCGCGTGCCAAACGGCCGTCAAAACACAGTATTCCTAACCAACGTGTCACATTGTTGCACACCGCTTTTCATCCTCGCCAATAAACTTTATACGTCGTTTTTTATCCTTTAACATTTTCATATTCGCCTAATATCTTCACCTATCAACCGGTCGAAATTATTAGCACCCGAGTGACCGTCATAAATTAGCTTTCACGCTTCTTTTTGGGAGAGGGCAGGTTTAATTCGTTCTCGAAATTTCGATAATCGTCATGCTTTTATGGCAGTTCGTCGTGAAAAAGGTTACGAAACTTTTACGTAACTCCTTTTCACGGGATATTTATTATTAAATAATTCCAGAGCTACATTTTTCAAAAATTTATATCCCTGAGAGACGAAGCATGTCTCCCATGTACATCAATTTTTGAAATACGTAACTACGCGAGATCTAATTATCGAAATTTTTCCTTTCTATTTGACAATTGTCAATAAACAGCGAATAATGACAGTCGGAAACGCGAAGAAGAAGAAAAATATGGCAAGGAAGATTAATAGATAGATAAATATATAGATAGATAAATTTTTATTGTTTTCCTATTGGATTACAAGGGTTCCGTCTCTCCTTATCCTCCATACATATTGCTTATTTTATATAAAATATATAACCATTATCACAACAATACAATAATAACGATATAAGAGCCTATGCTACAACCATAATAATAACTTAACCTAACCTAACATAAACATACTCTTATTTACACACTTAAAACCATATCTTATCCTACCCCCCATCTTTTATTTTCCCTTTGTACCATTATTTCTCCTTTTCCTTTTTTCACGCATTTGTCCCTTCCTGCTTCTTCGTCCTCTTCTACCTTCCCCGACCAACCTCTGTGCCCTCCTCTTTATCTTCTTCGCGAGGAAGATTAATAAAAATACGTTATCTAGTTAATTTGCGAATGATACCGTGAAATTTCAGCTGCTTTAAGTAATAAAATTCCATTCGTTTATGGAAGCTTGTAAATTATTGCGATTTCTGGAACCAAGGAAGGTGGATGAAGATTCTTCGTGTATTTCAAAATTTTCCTAAGCGTCGACGAGTTAAAATTTTTCGAATTAGCACGTCGCGGAGAATCGGAAGTGTCGACAAAATGGCGCGAGATTAGCGGAAAATCAGCCGCGACCGGAGCGAATAAATTGAATCGCGCTGATCGAATTAACGAGGCAATTTGTCACGCGACCGATGCGAGAAATTCACGCGCGAACGGCACGCGAGCTCGCTCGTCCCTTTCGCGCGTATCCTCGCTAAATTTCGCCAAGCGAGCCGAACAATTGAACCATTAACCGTGGAGACGTTAGTCACCCGACCGCTCGATCTTCCAGCTGAATCGGCCATTTTCATTCGTATTTTCGGCGCGCCGCTCGCGGCGCCACCGAGCCTCCGAAGGCTGAGAGAAGTAGCAACGATTTCCAGCGTCGTTTTAAATCTTTCCTTTTTCCCGGAATTTTCTCCGCCGTCGTTACCGACGCCAATAACTCTTGGAAAAAGACGTAGGAAGGATATAGTAACTTCGAGCGTCGTTTAATACGTTGACTGCCATGGGGGTCATCAGTGATAGTCTCCTCAGTGGAGCCATCTGGCGATATTAATTTTTTAAATTTGTACTTGTTTCATTTTAACCAATTTTTTAATATTAGAACAATGTAAATAAATAGAAAAATTTAACAGAAGATTATTAACTCTTTGCACTCGACGATTTTTTCGTTACAGGAAAATAGTAATTCGAAGACCTTCTGCCATAAAGTCTAGGATGTTTTTAATACGGTAAATAAGAAATCGTATTCAAATCAATAAGTAGAATTATTTTATTTCGACATTCCACGCATCGTTGGCTAATTTTAAATTTGGTATATTAATTAACACCGATCTTTAGAATCTGATTAAAGGGTCACCTCTCGAGTGCAAAGGATTAATAATTTGTACCATTTTTGTTTTGCTATATTTTTTTGATAATTCATTATTGTGTGGTTATAATAACAGAAATTTTATCGTAGCACCCTAAGCGTATTATATGAAATGTGCATAGCAGTCAAAGTGTTAAGTCTTTTATTTCCTTGAAATCATTACTTCGAGAAGGCTTGGAAAAATATTGGAACATTGATTTTAATATTAATTTAATTAATTTTATTATTCGCAAAATTCGTAAAATTCTTCATGAAACGAAGAATAGGTATTCTTTATTTTCTTCGAATTATTTTCTGCTGACACACGAGTGCTGAATGACGACAGTGGAGAAGGTTTCCTTGCATTTTCCGCTCTTTTCCGAGGGATAAAAATTGATCCGCAATTCCCGGCGTAAAATAAATGTCACATGGAAATGCGATGTACCCGAGTGATGTACTATGCTAGAAAAATGGCGATCGCTACGGCGCATCGGAATTGGCCGATGTGGATTTCTGCCGGAGGATCGATAAAAGCGTCGTGGATCGTTTCCTTTTTTCATTTTCACGCCGCGATACGCACGGTAGCGCCGGAGGCGGTCAATTGCTGAAGCATCGGTAATTATTGCACAAGCATTACGTAACTAAACAGCGGGATCACGGCGAGGGACGAGGCAGAGGGGGCGGGAGTGGCCGAGGAGAGAAAAAAGGCGCAAATTACAGTTACGCCGGGTAATTCGCGTCCATAGCGCGCATTACGTGCCATTAACGATCGTTCCGTCTCCTTTCCTCTTTGTTCCTCCCCATTTCCGTCGGCACGCCGATCAAGATCGTTTTTCTCGAACGCGCGAAAACGTCTGCGTGCCATAGACGGCACGATAATCGCTGTAATCGATCGATCGCCCTGGGCGCCCCCCGGCACAATGTCTCGGGCTACCAGTCGCTGGGAAATGCGGCAATTGCAGCTGCAATTCTTTGATAAAATAATCAACGAAGACACAGCGAGTAAGTGCAAGAACGAGATGGCAGGGAATTTAGCATGTCGCGATGTTGTGGATTCGAGGTTAAAAAATAGCACACGGTGCACGCGTATTTAGCGAAATAGTTTAATTAATTTAATTGAGAATATGAAAATAAGAAATGTAATACAGTTGTAGAGCGAATGCTTCCCTGGCTGGAAGCAAAACCGTGGTGAAAAATACAGTTCGACTCGTTTCGTCGGAACATGGCAAGGAATAACACGCAATTTATTGTCAAGAGTCAAAAAGAATAAACGATAGACCCGTTGAAGCACTTAACTGTTTATTGCTAGGGTTCTAAACGTCGGAGACGCCATAATCCCTTGCTCCTACGATATAAAATTCAATAGCGTGCTCGCAAAACCCCGTGATAGTCAGTTTTGGCCCGACCGATGCACCACGTGCCAGGCACGTGATAATCAGTTTCGACCCGACCGATGTACCACGAGCCATACACGTGATATACAGCTTTGTCCCGGAAACCTGACCACGAGCCTCACACGTGGTTGTTTGCCAAAGGGTTAAGTGACAAAAAATTTCTCTCTTCTCCCAAGAGATGGCAGGACATGTCAGAACAGTTGGGTTGCATTCACAAAGAATTTTCTAATCTGTAACAGCTTTGAAATCCATGGACGTTGTATCACGTTTGTACTCGTGTTGAGAAAAATCAGAAATATTTCCAACAGTCTAATATTCCTTGATACCGATC